ACTCTGCCAAGGACTTCCAGTAATCCTGAATGGAAGTGACAGAGGCTTTGCCTTGTTTCTTATCTTAGAGGAAAATCATTCCACATTTCAACATTGGGCAGGATGTTAGCCATAGGCTTTTTATATATGGCCTTTATTATGTGGAGATAGTTTCTTTCTGTTCCTAGTTTGTTGAGTGTTTTTATTACGAAAGGGTGTTGAATTTTGTCAAGTGCTTTCTCTAAATTACTTGAAATGGTCATGTAGTTTTTGTCCTTCATTTTGTCAATATGTTGTATTGTATTGAATGATTTATAAGTTGAATTATCATTGCATTCCAAGAATAAGTTCCACTTGGTTATGGCGTGTAGTCCTTTTAACTGAATTTGGCTTGCAATTTTGTTGAAGATTTTGCTGAAGATTTTCACGTCAATATTAATCAGGAATATTGATACATAGTTTTCTTTTCTTATAGTATCTTTGTCTGATTTGGTATCAGGAAAATGTTGGCTTCATAAAATGAGTTAGGAAGTATTTTCATTTCAATTTTTAGAAGAGTTTGAGGAAAAGTTTGGTGTTAATTTTCCTTTGGCTCTTCGGTAGAATTGCCCATTGAGGCTTTCTGGTCCTGTGCTTTTTTCTCCATTGGGAGGTTTTTGATTCAGTCTTCTTATTAGTTATAAATCTATTCAGAATTTTTATTTCTGTATGACTCAGACTTGATAGACTGTAGGTTTTTAGGAATTTTTTTTAAAGAGTTTATTCATTTATTTGACAGGAAAAGAGAGCACAAGCAGGGAGAGCAGCAGAGGAGCAGCAGAGGGAGAAGCAGACTCCTCACTGAGCAGGGAGCCTAATGTGGGCCTCAGTCCCTGGACCCTGGGATCATGACCTGAGCTGAAGGCAGACACCCAAACAACTGAGCCATTCAAGCATCCCTTTAGGAATCTATTTTGCTTTCAACTCTTGACCACCATCTCTTTCCATGTGGACCTGGATTACTCCCAGGAACACGACTTTGACTGTAGGTTGTCAAGACTATCCTTAGTATATCTCTGCTGATGGCTTAGTAAGTATGGGCATTGTAGTTTCATTAAAGAGGGTATCCAGTCTTGTGAGTAGCTACCTCATTCAGAGGAATACTAAATCTTGACATAAGAAGCTTAATGTTTATCAAAGGCCATCATGGAACAGATACCTCCATGGAGGTTGCTCTTTCCATTTCTACCCTTTGGGACTTCTATGAAGATAAAGTAGAAAGATTTAGGCTTGGGGATCCCTGGGTGGCGCAGCAGTTTAGCGCCTGCTTTTGGCCCAGGGCGCGATCCTGGAGACCCGGGATCGAATCCCACGTCGGGCTCCCGGTGCATGGAGCCTGCTTCTCCCTCTGCCTATGTCTCTGCCTCTCTCTCTCTCTCTGTGACTATCATAAATAAATAAAAAAAAATTAAAAAATAAAAAAAATAAAAATAAAAAAAAGAAAGATTTAGGCTTGAATATCTAAAATGAATGTTTTGAATACCCCAAATGAGTATTTTAAGTGAATATTTTAAATGAATGTTAAATTAGGGTAAGATTCTGAAGACTTTTTCTTGTATTACATGAGGATCTTTTCAAAATTCTAAATCTCTAAAGAGAAAAATTATAGAAAGCAGCTCCTCAATCCAAATATGATCCACCTTAGTTGAGTAGTCATCATATTTTATATAGATTTTTAAAAACTAGTTTGGATACTAAACTAGTTGCCTAATCTTGAAAATGTATAAGTTTGGTTCTGAGGTGGCAGAGTTAGAGTAGCTACAGAATGGTGATGGCAGGTGGAGCAAGAAAGCATGGCAAGTTCATTACAAATTTATGATCATTAATAGAAAAATAAGCCAGGATCACTTTTATACTCTAAGGCAAACATATAAGCAATAGCACATTGAGTTCTATGCAGATCCTACCGTTTCGAAGAATAGCAAGATGCTATTCTTTCATGATATTAACTGACAATGTTTTTTTCTTTTCTTTGAAAATATAATTTAAGGTTAAACAAAAGAATTTGAGGTGACTAATAAGTTATATTACTTTTTCCAAAATAAAATGGGAAACTTTTTTTTATTCTCAAGGGACTTTATATTTGGTCACATTTATCTGATAGGTTTTTCTTAACTCATTTTTATTTCAAATTTAGAGTTAGCTTGTAAAGAGGTATTCTTATTCCAATAAACTTTCAGATCTCTCTTAAACATTTAAAATTTGGGATCCCTGGGTGGCGCAGCGGTTTGGCGCCTGCCTTTGGCCCAGGGCGCGATCCTGGAGACCCGGGATCGAATCCCACATCGGGCTCCCGGTGCATGGAGCCTGCTTCTCCCTCTGCCTATGTCTCTGCCTCTCTCTCTCACTGTGTGCCTATCATAAATAAATAAAAAAAAATAAAAAAAAACATTTAAAATTTTCAACTGAATTACTGTTGTAGTACTGTCATATTATCAGATAATTTAATGCTGTTTTAAGAAATAGCATTAACCTCCAAATTCCAGTGAGGCAGAATATTTAGAGCACACTATTTATTCTTAGTATCTAAGAGAGACTTAGTTTACCTGGATAAACCTATGCTGTGTGAATGTTTACTGAATGTAACTCACAAGAAATTTCACATGCAGTGTCCATAGTATCACAATCTAGTTAATGGGATAATGATACCATACTTTATTACTCTTCTGAGTATCCTTTGTTTCTTCCTTTCTGCCTGACCTTTTAGCTCTAGAGTGTCCTGAGTCTCAACACTTTGGACCTCTGTCCTTTACAGCCTGTAGGCATTCCCTTAGCAATCTGGTCTTACCTGATTTCATGGCTTTACCTATCATCTTTGTGCAAATCAGTCCCAAATTACATAGTCCAGACATCTCTTCTAAACTCTGTACTGTTTTATCAGCCTGCCTATTTGATATCTACAATTAAGTGTTAAATAGCACTTCATACTTAACATTTGCAAAACTGAACTGCTCTTTCGTCCAAGTCTTCTCTACCAGGAACTTTTCCTAGGTCAATGATGGCAGCTCTAGTCTTAAGGTTGCTCAGGCTAAAAAATAACCAGAATAATGTCATCCTTTATTCTTCACTTCCTCTTATATCCCCTATTTAACCTATTAGGATATCTTGGTGTTTCAGTTGTCTTCAAACTATACATGAATTTGACTGAATGATTGTTCATAAAAATTAAAAAAACTAAGGCTCAGAGAAGTTAAGAGAACATCCCAAGTTCACATAGCTAGTTAGTGATAAAGTGATAATTCAAATCCTTATTTTCTGACCGACCACAAATAATATGCTCTATTCATAATACTAGTGCTTCTGCAAAGCAAATGTTATAATTGTTTATAATTTATATAGCTTAGAAATATGATCTGACCTATTGTGTAAATGGATCTTTATAAATAGTATGTGTTATTTCAGTTCGGTTTTCTAGGAATTTTCTAAGCCCAGAGCAGTTATTTCATAAATACTTGCCAACTCAGTTAAATTGATTGGTACTTCTCTCTTCTTGTATATTGCTCTAGATCAGGAACCGTGTTTTCAATTTCAAGGTATAATTAGATATAAATTGTGTATTAGGTAAAAAAAAAGGCTGGGGGATAAGGGTGGAATTAATGAAATAAAATATTCAAGGAGGTCTCTTTGAAAGAGGTTAGACATGTTCTTATTATATCTGTATGAATTTAGGACATATTTTAGCTCTTGCTACCTTATATATAAATGCTATTTCTATTTCTTAGAGTTTTCATGGTATGTAATATTGATCTTGATACCAATCATTAAAGTTTAGATTGTGGAATTATTATTTAAATTATTTAGAGTCTTCTCTTAAGGGCTTCTGTTTTAAGGAGACATTTTATAACTAAAATCCATTAGATTGTAAGATTTTCTAGTTGATTATAATGGAAAAAGTCAAAGGATTAGCATCTTGGTAGAGAGATAGCAGAAAAGTTTCAGTGCTGTCTATTGTCTTGACATAGTCCTGTTTCATTGATGTACTGTTTGTATTTTAATAGAACTTATTCCATGCTTATATCATTTAATGTAGCAGAAATGAAGTATGTTAAGCCAAATTTTATGAGATTCAAGTGGTATCTTTGAAAGAAGCCAAGATTAAACTTTTGAGAGATGTCTGTTATATCTATTTATGTGACATATTTAGAAAGCTGATAATTTTTAAAATTTCTGTACAGGTAGAACACTTATCTGTGAAACAGATTTTAGGTGAAGAGCCCTCAGGATCATTATTATTTTTTTTAATTTATATTTACTTAGGATAGGCACACAGTGAGAGAGAGAGAGACAGAGACACAGGCAGAGAGAGAAGCAGGCTCCATGCACCGGGAGCCCGACGTGGGATTCGATCCCGGATCTCCAGGATCACGCCCTGGGCCAAAGGCAGGCGCTAAACCGCTGCGCCACCCAGGGATCCAGGATCATTATTTTTATCTTTTTTTTTCTCTTCTAAATTTTCACCTTAAAGTTTACTTGTTTTGTTATTTCACCAATTTGTGTTATTTTGTTCCAAGGATGAAAATTTGATGAATATTTAATTCAGAGAAGCAAGTTTCACATCCCAAATTCTGTCCATCTACATACTTTTCTACCTACTTTTTCTGTGATAGAAATATTTAGCATGGAATCTTTTTAAAGACATTCTTATAGGCTTTGGAAATACTTCTTAAAGCAATAAAATGATATTTGAAGCATCAAACCCAAAAGCCATGCTTAGAAATTTAGTCCCTATGGCAACTGAATGAATAAATGAATAAAGTTGTGTGGCGCCTACATCCATGATGGCGTATATTTAGAAAGGAAACTGTAGCTTCTAAAAAAGTATCTGTTGACAAACAAATATAAAATAAGAGTTCAAAAAAGAGACACTTTATTTCTGGAAAATGTGATAGTTCTGTTACCATTTGCAGTGATGGATATCTGTGGGTCTTTATACTGTGAAATAAACTGTGATCAACTCTACCGCTATCTTTTCTTTTTCGTAGTGTATGCCAATTAAAGGCCTAGGATTCGTGCTTGGAGCCTACCAGTGCATTTGCAAAGCAGGATTCTATCATCCTCAAGACTTCTCAGTGAACAGCTTTCAGAGTAAGTGTCCTTCGCTTCTCTACATACATATGAATACACATAATATATACGATTATTAATTATTCAGATTTTCTTTTTACATTGTTGGAGTTATTTGTTTCAATCTCCACTGGTTTGGTAGTCTTTCGTCCCTTAGAATTTTTGTTTTGATTTGTCATCTTTCATGCCCTGGAGTACCACAAAATAATGTGTTTAAGTATGTTTTAGTTTTCAATACGTTTCCTAAAATAATGTTAGCTGTGTAGTAAAATCAGTTGGGATTCAGTTATTGAGAGCTGTTGCTACAGAAATTTCCTAAACCTAATTTTGCTAGTTTGTTTATTAATTAATTAATTAATTTACAAAAAACGATTTTATTTATTTATTCATGAGAGACACAGAGAGAGAGAGAGGCAGAGACACAGGCAGAGGGAGAAGCAGGCTCCATGCAGGGAGCCTGATGTGAGACTCAATCCAGGGTCCCCAGGATCACAGTATGAGCTGAAGGCGGCGCTAAACTGCTGAGCCACTGGAGCTGCCCTATTTATTAATTTATATATTAATTTTCTACACTGCATAAAGAACTATCATAAATTTAACAATTTAAAGAACATACATTTATTATCACACAGTTTTCGTTCATTACCTTTCCAGTCAGAGGTGAGGTTGGCCCTCTGTCTTACCAGGTGACATCTGTGATGCAATGTGATCCGAGGCCTGGGGTCTTCTTCCAAGCTCATTCATGTCAGTATCTCACAGGCTCCTGGGTTTTTTTTTTTTTTTTCCTAGATGTTAGTCAGCTGAAGTTTACTCTGAGCTCCTCTGAGTTGCCTTAAGGCCTATTCATGTGACCCTCTTACTGCATTGCAGCTCACCTCTTCAAAGCTAGCAAAACAATTTCCTCAATCTGGTCAGATTGAACCATATATAACATACTATAATGAGAGTAAGTATCCCACCACTTTATCTGATAATGTAACCTAATCAAAATAGAGACCATCTCATCATATTTACAGATCCACTCACATTCCCGGGGAAGTGATTATACAAGGTATATACTCCAGAATCGAAACTTGGTCATCTGCTATTGTATTCCTACTTCAGAAAATGTCAGTGTTACAATTTGAATATTGATTTTTTTACTTTATCTCTAGAGAATGCAATGTTGCCACACTAGCTTGTAGTCAGCCAATGGATATAATAGCTAAGGAGTATAGTGGTAAAAAAGTTGGTTTCATAGGAAGTTAGGGCTTGAGGTTTACTGAAACTGAGGTACAGGTATCTTTTAGATAGTCATTCACAAATCTTTGCAAGCCTTACTGGTCTTTATAGGAATTTGCATTTTTACTAGGCACAGTTCAAAGGGTACATTGAGATTGAAATCTGAGTTTCTTCCTCTAGGAATTTTGGTAAAATTTGTAGATTTTTGTTTTGTTTTGTTTTCTCCTGGAAAACATTCTTGGAACTGAATCTGTTTACATTTAAGTTATAGGCTCTGGAGATCAGTAACATTTCGCTCTGTCCTCAGTCATATAGTTCAGAGGTCAGCCCTTGTTCTATGAATAATTACAGGTATAATTCTCAAATGGCCTTCAGGCTTCTGTTCGCACAGGCCCTGCCCAACACTTTCCTCTTACTTGAGGGTGGGACCCGTGAATGCAGGGAGGTGGTCACTCCCTGTTTAGGCTGTATTATATAGCAAAGGTGATAGTTTAGTCACCTATGTGATTATGTTGCATTAAAGAAAATTCCTTCCCATCGTAGCTGACCGAAGGGAAATTCTAGTGCTGGCCTTGAAGAAATAAACTACCTTGTTGTGTGAGGGCTGTGTGGCTAAAACCTGAGTGAGCCCTCTGAGAGCTGATAGCAGATCTCACGGGCAGTAACCAAGAAAACATGGACCTTAGTTCTATAACTGCAAGCAACTAAATTTTTCTAAAAGCCTGAATACACATGGAAGGAGATCCTGAGCTCCACATGAGAAGACAGCAGGCCAAAACCTTGATTTCAGTCTAGTAAGACCCTGAGCGGAGAGCTCACTACACTGTGCCCACACTTCTGATCAACAGAAACTGGGAAATAATGAATAGGTATATTAAGCTCCCAAATTTCCAGTAATTTGTTATGTAGCAGTAGAAAACTAATACAATAGTAGTGATGATAACATATTTTCAGAGTAGACATGCTTTTCCTTGTATCTGTGTGTACCAAACCATGGCAATACCAGAGCTACTTTGGCATTCTTCACATTTACGGTCCAGACATAACAGATGATTCAACACTGAAGAATTAAGGGAATAGGTTTTAGCTTATGTTCTGTGAAGGTATTTTGTATCTGGTTTACCCACATTTGTTCTCAGCTCCCACTATGTGACTGAAATAAAACATCTAAATATTTTAGAACCAGAGAATGACTATGCCATTTGCTTATAACACCACCAGGAGAAACTAGTTAACCTTTAACAACTTATCTTTATTTAATTTGCACACTCCTACTTTCTTCCTTATTTTAAAAGCCAATGTTTTTCACTGGACCTACTTTTTCTAAGAAAAGGCGGCTTCTCTGTGTAAATCTAACTCCTGTGTTGTACACACTGCAGTCATGGAAAAGAGGCCACGGTTTTTAGAAAGATGATCTATATTTAGACATTTAGCTGTGATTCAGGTTTGACCTTAGCACTTACTTAATCAGACTTGACCTTCCCCAATGACAGAGCAGAAGGCTAGCTATATGTTATAATTTGAAGTCAGTAAAGTGTTCTTTGACCAAAGCTGTCTTTCCTGATGGCCTGTCAGGTTGCAGGAAAATCCATTATTATTCCCTCCTTGTCCTAAGAGATGATACAGGGATCTGAACAGGAATCCTGTTCATTGTCAGGATTAGTCAATGACTAAGGACTATCCAAACTTTCTTTTGTATTCCTGGTTATTATTAAAACATGTACTGTATTAAACTGTATTAAACATATACTATATTTTAATATAGTCAGTATTTTAATCATAGTATTCAGGTGTTCATGGCACATATTAAATGCTAAAAAATGTTGTTGTATTATGATTGTTATTTGGAAGTTGGTATCTATTCTGCTCATCCCCTTATGTTCTTAAAGGGCTACCCATGACTTAAGGAATGACTGCATATAGCTCTGTACCCTTTGTCAAGGGTAAAGAAGGCATTAGAAACCCCCAAAATGAGATAACATATGTAAACCTGCTAGCATAATACAATGGCATATGATAAATGTTTGTAGGTATAGTTAAATAAGTGATAAAAATCAGTGATGTATGTAAAGAGATAATCCTTAAACATCATTGGTCATTAGCCTTACATTTTATCATATTATAATAACCAACTTTTTAAAACTGGAACTTTTGGAGAATGAATTTGACATGGATGGGACAGTATAACAACCGGTGCTGCATTCAGTAGGGCAGTAGGGAGAAGGCTTGGGAGTTAGAGACAGCAGGAAGAAGTTAGTTGCCTGATTAGGAGAATAGGATACAGAAAACAGAATTTACCTAAAAGATTAAAGTCACTTAATTTACAGTTGTAAATCTAAAATAAGATCTGTAATCCCCACATATATTATTGTCATGTTATCGTATTTGGAGAGAAGAGCTGAGATGTAATGCACATGTGACTTAAAAATCCTGTTAAAATATGAAGTGATTTAAAATCTTTTTTCAGACTAAGACCCACAGTAAACGAGGGCTTGTAAAGACCAACGAGGTATATGCTTAAATGACATGATTTAAAATTGTGCTGACAGCCCAGAGGCTGTGTTCCTGGCATCTCTCTTGAAATTGATGGTCATATGTGAACTAATAGGATCTGACATCTGGATAGTAGCAGGATTTCAGAGTAACCAAGTACTGAGATACTTGGCTTTCTGCAGATGAGGTCCTGTATCAGTCTCTAATACCACCTCCAATTTTAGGACAGATTAATAGAGCTTGAGCATCACAATCTCATTATCGGCATTCTCACCTTCACTATTGGTCTGACTCCAGCCTTGTGGTCTGATTTACTTTTGCTGTATTATAGTTAGTCCTGATCAGTGTTATTCCAGTTTTGGTAGCACAGTTTCCAATGTATTTGTACTTTTGTTTTTGCCTCATTCATTTACCTAGTTTACAGTTTTCATGTCTTCCTTTGTTAGTCCTGCTCTTAGTAAATGGAGTCCAGTACCTCAGTGTGTCTGGAAGATGGGGTGAGTTGCCAATGCCAGTGTCCATGTTCTTGGACTCTCAACTGTTGCATTTATCTGTTAATCTTTGACTATGTTCTTTCCAACTGTTGGGACATACTCCATACCATGTTGGATACCCTGGCTCTTAAATTTCTACCAGAGCTGAATTTCTATCATAGTTTATTTATTTTTTTAATTTTTATTTATTTATGATAGTGAGAGAGAGAGAGAGAGAGAGGCAGAGACACAGGCAGAGGGAGAAGCAGGTTCCATGCACCGGGAGCCCGACGTGGGATTTGATCCCGGGTCTCCAGGATCGGGTCCTGGGCCACAGGCAAGCGCTAAATCACTGCACCACCCAGGGATCCCCTCTATCATAGTTTAGCACAGTAATTAAGAGCATAGTTTTTGGAATAAGACTAACTTGGTTTTGAATCCTGGCTCTACTACTTACTTGGACTCTGCTGTATTTTTTAACTTCCTGAACCTTCACTTATGACATATGTAAAATTGGAATAATATTATAGGCTTTAGAAAATTATTATAAGGATTAAATAATAAATTCAAAGTTCTAATAATGGCAGTTGGCACATTTTAAATGCTCAAAAATATTGTTGTTTTATGATTATTATTTGGAAGTTTGCATCTATTCTTCTTCCCTCTTTCCCCAAGAATCTCCCCACTTTTATTCCCTTCATCTAGTATCTGTTCCACTACCCAGCAGAGGATCATATTCCCATGTCCCAGATTTTTTCTGTTCAGTTTGTCTAAAATGGGTCCTGCTCTCATATATAATATTCAGTCATCCAAAAATCTTCCTTCTTGGGCATC